CTTCCTGCTCCCTCATGTCCTCCTCTCCCCTCCTCTTCTCCAATTCTCTTTCTCCTAACTCCCCTTCCTCTCCTCCCATGCTCACAATTTGTTTAGGAGATCCTGTCCCTTTTCCCTTCTCCAGGAAACCATGTATGTCTCTCTTAGGGTCCTCCTAGTTTCCTAGTTTTTCTGGTGGTGTAGATTGTAGGCTGGTAATCCTTTGCTCTATGTCTAAATTCCATATATGAGTGAGTACATACCATGTTTGTCTTTTTGTGACTGTGACCTCACTCAGGATGGTTTCCTCTAGTGCCATCCATTTGCTTTCGAATTTCAAGATTCCATTTTTTTTTTCTGCTGAGTAGTACTGAATTGTATAAATGTACCACATTTTCTTTATCCATTCTTCAGTTGAGGAGCATCTAGGTTGCTTTCAGGTTCTGGCTATTACAAATAATGCTGCTGTGAACATAGTTGAACAGATGTCCTTGTTATATGAATGCGTATCTTTTGGGTAAATACCTAAGAGTGGAATTGCTGGATCTTGGAGTCAGGTGCAATTCTGGTATCTTTGTCTTTATATGTGACTGGCCTTTTTCCTTTGCTACTCTAAATATTCTTTCTTTATTCTGTACGTTTGGTGTTTTGATTATTATGTGGCAAGAGGACTTTATTTGTGGTCTTCTCTATTTGGTGTTCTGTAAGCTTCTTGCACTTTCATTGGCATGTCTTTCTTTAGGTTGGGAAAGTTTCCTTCTGGAATTTTGTTGAATATGCTTTCTGTACCTTTGAGGTGGGTCTCTTCACCTTCTTCTATATCTATTATTCTTAGGTGGTCTTTTCATGGTGTCCCATATTTTCTGGGTATTTTGTGTTTGGGATTTGTTGAACTTAAATTTTTCTTTGGTTGATGAAACCATTTCTCTTAGTATCTTCAATGCCTGAGACTCTCTCTTCCATCTTTTGTATTCTGTTGGTTATGCTTGCATCTGTAGTTCCTGACCATTTACCCAGCTTTTCTATTTCCAGCGTTCCCTCAAACTCTGCTTTCTTATTTTCTCTATTTCAGCTTTCAACCCTTGTACTGTTTGAATTGTTTCTTGCAATTTTTGGTTTGTATTTTCCTCCATTTCTTGAATTTTTTGTTTTTTTTTCTTCCATTTCTTTATGGGATTTTCTCATTACCTCTTTGAGAGTTTGTATCATCTTTATAAAGTTGTTATAGGGTCATTCTCATCTGTGTTGGTATGGTCGGGTCCCTATACTCTGGCGGCATGATATTGATCTTTCTGTTGTTTATTGTGTTCTTATAATGTCATCCTCCCATCCCTTATTCCAGGGTATACCTGTGGGGTCTTTCCCTCTCCTGGTGAGTACCGGACTAAGGTTCTTATCAGGTGGATGCAAGCAGGTCCAATCCTCTGGTGGCTTTCCTCTTCCCATGGATGGTGGCGGGACTAGTACCTTAATGTTGGTATACTCTGGATGGGCTGTTCCTCCAGGATGGGTTCCCCAGTATGCAGGCCCCCAAGCCTCAGGAGACTATGAGCAGGACACCAGAAGGCAGGCCTGAATCAGACCCATGCTAGACTCCTCCCATGGGTGGAGGTAGGATAGATTTTTTTAATATATATATAATTTTTATTTACTTTTGAACAATTTGTACATACATAATAAATTTTGATCACTGCAGGAGAGAGATCTTAATGTATATATTCATTTATCATGATTGGAGAACATGCCTTTTTAAAAAAAACTTTCTTTGAGGCCAAGTACATTTTTGTAATTAACTTTATTTGAAGCTAAAACTATGTATATGGGCATCTATATCCTCAACATTTTTTATCATATCATTAAATTCTCCTCTGTGTTTGATTTGTTTTTACAAACTCTTTCAAAGCCTTTAAAAGGACCATTGAGATGTCTGAGAGATAGCCCACTGGGTAAGAGTACTTTGCTGTGTCAGCTGAGGACCTGAGTTTGAATCCTAGCATTCATGTGCAAATCTGGGCCACTCAATAGTTTGTGACCTTATAAGAATAGAAGAGCAAAAGTCACTGGGAGTAGGACCACTGAAACTTGCTGGCCTCCAGCCTTGCTCCAAGTTCAGTAAGACTGTCTGTCTCAAAGGAATAATGTGGAGAATGATAGCATGGGATATCTGATATTCTCCTCTAGCTTCCATAGCCAAATGCATGCATAAACACATACATCATGCTCACACACATGTGCATACACACACACACAAAACATACACATAAAATGACTATTAAAATCTTCTAATAACTTTATCAAATTGTTCTAGAAAACGAATTCACTTATTTAGCTACATTATATATACATACACATGTGGCTTGTAACATTTCTTTATATAGTCATTTTAGTGCTGTGTAATGAATGGGAAACCATCCACTTCATCTAGATTTTAGTCATGAGATAATGTATGTCATCCTGTGTGGTACTGTCTGCTATTTTCCCCACAATTCTTACCTCTTTTTTCTTCTGCTTCAGAATAAAAGCCTCTGTCTCTCAGAATTCTCTGATGCCAGGTATGATCATGAATTCAATTCTGATGAGTAAATGTAACTGTAAAACTATGTGGCTACCTGGAGGGATTTCTCTAAGCCTCAGTCTGGTCTTCAGGCTCCTTGGTGTTTCCTGATGCCTTGGCTCCTTCCTTCTCTCCTGCTGGAGTTGTTGAACCTCTGAGACTCCACCACAACCTTGGCTTAATCTCTGTACCATGAACTTTCTTCAGGAATGGCCAGTTGACAACCATGGAGCTCTCAGTCCCCTCTAAGGAAGTAAAGTATTTTCAGGTGTTTTTAAAAGATGACATTTAAAAGCATCATGCTGTCATTTATCATCTTCTGTGTCTGAAATGTGTTGGACAGATCATTTTTTTCTAAGTTCAGTTTCTCAGAGTTCAGACAGGAAGCAGGTAAGTCTTCTTGACATAGGGTAGGCAATCTAGCTTTTATCAGCAGCATTCCTAGCTTCAAGTTTTTGATTCAGGATTCATGATAAAAGATCTTGATGTGCTCATTTTTAAAAAATTACCAAATATTTTTATTTTTGAGGATATTTTCTCAGAAGGCTTTCAAAATCATTTTAATGCCAAGTCAAGAATTTTGATGGACCAGCCTGACTCCATCTTAAGGTTGGAAGTCATTTTGTTACAAGGTCAGAAAAAGTTCATTTGTGTTTACTGTAAAAGTCAAGTCTGACCGTGCTTTAACCTACTTATGGAATTTGATATGCTCCCCACTTCGAAAGTACCCTGAACTCTACCCTGATAAGATGCCAAGGAATCCTGAAATGTTCTGCCAAGATGATCTGTCAAATAATCTTATCTGCTGCCTGCTTCTGTCATTTTCTTACCAAGTTCTTACATGGCCAAATTCCTCTGAAAATCCCCCAGTTTTCACTTTTTTCCTTTTATAAAAAGGAGGCCTGAAAAATTCACCCACACTATCCTCTCAAATCCCTCTTTGGAAGGTCTGTCCTATGCACAATAAACAAAACTGGCTTAAGTGGCCTTATTTGGGTGGTAGTCTTCATTTTCACTTGGTGGGATTAACATTCTTGGAGGCCTCAGCAAAAGCAAGACCCCCACCCCAAATTCTGAAGCTGAATTTTGGGTTGGTGGTCTTAAGTCTTGTTCGGTGGGATTAATACTTTGACTCTTTGACCAGGCATTATGGCATGTGCCAGTAATCCCAACACTCAAGAAATGGAGGCAGGAAGATCGCCACAAGCCCAATGCCAGTCTGTACTACACATTTCCAGGGATGCAAGACCTCAAAAAATTTAGTCTCATTGGGATTTTTTTTCAGTCTCTTTGCCTTAGTTACTTTTCTATTTCACCTTGACAAAACACCATGACCAATGCAACTTATAAAAGAAAGCATTTAATTTTAGGGTTATGGTTCCAAAGGTAATAAAATCCCTTACCACCATGACAGTGAGGATGGCAGCAGGTGGGCCTAAAAGAGGAAGAGAATGTGTGAAAGAGAGAGAGAGCAAACTAGCTGAGAATGGTGTGGGTTTTGAAATATCAAAGGCCACACCTCCTAGTCTTTCCCAAGCAGTTCTACCAACCGAATGCTTGGGGACCAAGCATTCCAATATATGAGCCTATGAAGGTCATCCTTATTCAAGCTACCATACCCTTATTCCTGGACCATTACAATTCACATCTGGAATTTATTATAGCAGGTGGAAAATGATTTTGTTTTGAAACGAAGTTTCATGCAGTCCAACTTGACCTCAAGTTTTCTGTGTAGCTGAGGATAACCTTGAGTTCCTAATTCTCCTGCCTGTGTCTCTTAAGTGCCGAGATATCGGGCATTCACCAAGTTTTTGAAGTTCTGGAGATTGATTCGGGGCTTAATGTATGCTAGGCAAGGACTGTATCAATTGAGCAACACTCTCAATCTAGAAAATTAAAGGAAGAAAAGCACAATATCAAAATTTTGTCTCACTGTATTGAGGGCTGGAAATTCTTAGAATACAACAGAATAGCCTAAGGGTGGAAAGACAGAAAGAACTCTAGGCATGTGAAAAGGGAGAGGGGGTTACTTGGGATGGGATTAAGAACATTTCACCAGCTGAGAAGCCAGGAATCCAGTATAACTAACAACTGCTTAATGTACAAACCTGAACGTTTCTAGATACCTCCCCAAAAACCCCATTTACAGTGAAAACATGTCCTAAATCCCTCGTGCAATCCTAGTGGCTCCTGGTTCTACCTCATCAGATTATAATCATACACAGGGCACCTTCAGAGTGGCAGTATAAAATCACAACTCTTACCTCAATAGGGATAAGAGCATTTGGAGCCAAATATGAGTGACTTTGACCCAGGAACACATATGCAGGATACCCCAAATTCCTTGTTCTAACATGATAACCATTTTATGAACTTTTAACAGAACAGAACAAACAAAATCAGACATCAAGACACTGAAAATATCTAATACTTTCATTTCCTAATACAATGAAAACATCAGGTGGGCAACTACAGCAAAGTTGGGAAACCTCTGCTATCAGCCTTTGGGTTGGTGGAAGCAGGTGGTCTTCCCAGATGATAGACCAAAAGATTTGACCTGGTAGTCACAAGGATGTCAGGTCAGACACAGAGGTGGGAAAGGAATGGCTAATAAGAGGGATAATGACAGCAAAAGATAAATTATGTTTGGGCTCTTGACCTGCAGCATTCCAATATATTGCAGTCACTGAAGTTCTAGTCAGTTATCCAGAATTGTAGAATATTCCTTGTAAGGTACCCCTTCTCTTCAGGATCTTTCATCCACAGGAACCACCCTAGAATCTCATCAGAAAGAAAGAGAAGGAGGTAAAAAGTTTCTTAGCAACTTTCTGAGTTGCCATTTGTGATCTACCAAAATGGTGTATCAAACTACTATAAGACACTTAGTTGTGACTCTCCATTGAGGATCTCATATCCACATCCCAAGCATCTTTTATTCTTTAACCTTCAAGCATAAATATCTGTGTTAAAAGGTCTTTCGGTAAGTTGCCATTCTATGGGTCATGAAACAAACTCAGCAATTAGTTATAAGCACTGGCTGTTCTTGCATAGGACCAGGTTCAATTCTCAGTCACAACACAGTGGCTCACAACTGTCTTAACTCCAGTTCTAGTGGATCGGATGTCCTGTCTGGCCTCCTTGGGCACCAAGCACACAAGTGACTCACAGACAAACATGCAGGCAAGATACCCATACACAAGAATTAAAATACAAGTAATTAATAAACTGTTATTCTCTTCTAGAAAAGCCCACACTAATTCTCTTGGATGTGTTTTTGGTCTTTCCTTCAGCACTGATCTATTTATTTTATTTTTGTGTTTATTGTCTGTTTTTACGTGCACATGTCAGAGCACAGGTGTGGAGGTCAGATGACAACTTGCTGGGATCTATTCTTGTCTATCATGTGGCTTCTGAGGGTTGATCTCAGGTCATCAGGCTTGGCAGCAATCACCTCTACCCACTGAGCATTTCACTAGCTTCTATCTTCCTATTTTTAATATAACCTGAACTCTATTTCATACTGGCTAGTCCTGAAATTATTTTCTGTGTTGAAACCACAAGCCTTGTTTAGGCCTGAATGCTACTGAGGATGATAGCCTGACACTGTGTCTCTAGCCCTTCACCATTAACAACACAAGCAATGTCCTGAATGGATGTCAAAAAGAAATTCCTTGGTGTTTAAACTTCTCTATCATGAACACTGTGCTCTTAGGAAAATTTTATAGTGTATTCATACCTTACTTTTCTCATAAAAGTACTTGTAAAATATTGTAGATACTTGAAAAGGTTTATTGATATGGTATGAAAGTAGGGTCCTTGGACTTTGGAGACTTCCTAGACACAGACGGCCTTAAAAGCTCAGTTTCACAGGACTCTCCAGGTCACTGGCTCCAGGATTCTTGCCACACAGCTTTGAGGAATGAATTTCATAAACCCCAGGAAGGGTGTGCTTTAATAAAGGAGTTTATTGTGGGTTCATAAGTGAGAACTTGAGAAAAAGCAAACAGAGCCCCCAGTGCAGCAGAGAAGGGTCCCAGAGATGGGCATGAAGATGCTTATTTGGGGGTTTCTCCAAAGGCTGGGTTGAGACATAGAGACATGATAAGGTCAGTTCTTGTGGCCCACATACCAGGTGTACATGCGTCTTTCCGTCCCTGTAGCTGGACTGTGGATACCAGTACACTCCAGTGCCTCCAGACAAAACATTTCTGACTTGTTTATCTGCTGACCAGAGAAGAATTGAAACCAAGACATGAATCTGGCCAGAATATGTCTGACATTCCTAGCCAAAACCAAGAATCAGATCTGCCTGTTTTCCAGGCCCTTCCCCTGGCTGCCTGATTGGTTCCTATCTCCTTTTTCTGTCACTCTGACACTTATTTATTTATTTTTACTGAAAATAGATTCTTTTCCTGTTTATAGTTTGCCCTCACTATAATCCTCCAAGTTCCTCCCTACCTTTCTTCCTCTCCAAATGCACTCCCTTTCTGTCTCTCATTAGAAAATAACAGGCTTCTAAGAGATAACAACCAAACTTAACAAATAAAACTGAAATAAGATGAAGCAGAAAGCTTTCATATCAAAGTTGGACATGGTAACCCCACAGGAGGAAAAGAAACATAAGAGCAGGCACAAGACTCAGAGACCCACTCATTATCACAGTTGGGAGTCCCACAAAAAATACTAAACTAGTAGCTACAGTATATACACAGAGGACCTGGTGTAGACCTGTGTGGGTCCTTTTCTTGCTGCTTCAGGCTCTGTGAGCTCATATGCACCTTGCTTAGCTGAATCAGTTCTCCTGGTATTCTCCATCCCCTCTGACTCCTACAATCTTTGTGCCTCATCTTCTGAAGGATTCCTAAGCTCTGAGGGGAGGGGTTTTATGGAGACCTCCAATTCAAACTGTCTCCACATAATATCTAACTGTGGGTCTCTGCATCTGTTCCCATCTTCTGCTATCTGATGATGATGACTAGATAAGACACTGATCTATGAGTGTAGCAAAATATCATTAGGAATCATTTTATTGATTTTGCTTTATTAGACCAGTCATGTTTGGTTTTACCCTAGGCCTCTGGTCTTTGGTTCTTGACTACCCAAGCAGTGTATAGTATTGATTCCTTCTCCTGGAGTAAGCTGTAAGTCAAATCAGACATTGGTTGTCACATGTCCGGTGACACCATTGCCCTAGCACACTTTGCAAGCAGAACAGACTTATAGGCCAAAGATTTGAAGCTGGATTGGTGTCCATGGTACTCTTTCAGAAGGCAACAGAGTACCTTCTCACACCAAAGAGACTAGAACACAGGAGTGAAGGCCCCATGCAGGTGCCAGCGCAACTTGTCCAGGTTCAATGAATTGTGTGGATGTTGTCCTTGGCAATAGGGCTCCATTGTCAGTTTCAGAAAGCAACCTTCTGTCTCAGCATCAGCAACCATTCTTTGGGGGATTCCCATAGGATCCCCTTTGCCAACAACTCAATTGAATGCAACCCACTCCCTCCACTGGAATCCTTGCCTGGCTATAAGAGATGGCTGATTGAGACTCCATATCCCCCACTGCTAGGAACCCTCAATAGGATCACATTCACAGATATCATGAACTTTTCAATGCACTAGATTTCCACACCACCCACCAAGTACCTCCCAATTCCAGTCATCTTTCCCCATACTCTCTCCCTCCATCCCATCTTCCTCCTAACCTGATTCCTCCCACTCCTGTCACCAGTGCACCTGTAAAATCTATTCTATTTTACCTCCCATGGGGGATCCATTCATTCCCCACTCCTCCTAACATCTCTGTGTCTATGGATTATAGCTTAGTTATTATTAACTTAATTGCTAATATCAACTTGTACGTGAATATATACCGTATTTATCTTTATGGACCTGGGGATGTCACCCAGGATGATTTTTTTCTAATTCCATCCATTTGCCTACAAATCTCATGATGCCATTTTTTAACACTGAGTAATACTCCATTGCATAAATATAGCACACTGTCTTTATCCATTCTTCTGTTGAGGGACATCTAGGTTGCTTCCAGTTGCTGGCTATTATGAATAAAACTGCAATAAACATGGTTGAGCAAGTGTCCTTGTGGTGGGATGGAGTATCCTTTGGGTATATGGTCAAGATTGGTATGACTGGGTCTTGGGGTAGATCGATTCTCAATTTTCTGAGGAAGCACCATATTGGTTTCCACAGTGCCTATACAAGTTTGCACTCCCACCAGCAGTGAAGGAGTGTTCCCCTTGCTCCACATACTTCCCAGCTTGAGCTGTCACTTGTGCTATTGATCTTAGCCATTCTGACAGGTATAAGATGGAGTCAATGTAGTTTTAATTTGCATTTCCCTGATGGCTAAGGATGTTGGACATTTTGTTCAGTGTTTCTCAGCCATTTGAGATTGCTCTAGTGAGAATTCTCTGTGTAGATATGTATCCCATTTTTTAATTAGATTGTTTGGTTTACTTATGTCTAGTTTCTTGAGTTCTTTATATATTTTGGATACTAGAACTCTATCAGATACAGAGTTGATGAAAATTTTTTCCCATTCTGTAGACTACCATTGTGTTCTATTAGTGGTGTAATGTGGGATATCCTTCTGTCTCCTGCCAATATGTGTTGCTTTTATTGGTTAATAAATAAAGCTGATTTGGCCAATGGCCGGGGAGAATATAGATAGGCAGGAAATTCAAAGATACAGAGGAAAAAGTAGGCAGAGTCAGGGAGATGCCATGTGACTGCTGGGGGAGTAAGATGCCGGAGCATTACCTGTAAGCCACAGCCTCATGGCAATACACAGATTCATAGAAATGGGTTAATTTAAAAGAGAGAGCTATCCAGTAATATGTCTGAGACATTGGGCAATTATATTTAATATTAAGCCTCAGACAGTTATTTCATAAGTGACTGTGGAAACTAACGGGCTGGACAGAAAGAATCCAGCTACAGTGGTGTCCTTTGCCTTCCAGAGGCTTTTGGTTCCATTTATTGCTGATTTCATGCCTGCACTATTGGTGCTCTGTTCAAGAAGTTGTCTCCTGTGCCTATGCAGTCAAGGCTAGTCCCCACTTTCTCTTTTATCAGGTTCAGTGTACTTGGCTTTATGTTGAGGTCTTCGATCCACCTAAACTTGGGCTTTGTGCAGGGTGATAAAAATGGATCTACTTGCATTCTTCTACATGAAGACATCTAGTTATGCCAACCCCATTTACTGAAAATGCTATCTTTTTTCTAATGTGTTTCTGGCTTCTTTATCAAAAATCAGGTGTCCATATGTATTTGGATTTATGTCTGGATCTATAGTTTGATTCCATTGATCAATATGTCCATTGTATGCCAATGTCATGCAGTTTTTATTGTTATAGCTCTGTAGTACAACTTGAAACCAGTTGTTTTTCGATCAGGATTATTTTAGCTATCCTGGATTTTTGTTGTTGTTGCTGTCATTCTACATGAACTTGAGAATTGAATTGTCTTTCCACAGTCTGTAAAGCATTGTGTTGGAATTTTTTTTTGGAATTTGCATTGAATCTGTAGATTGTTTTTGGTAGGATGGCCATTTTTATTATGTTAATCATACTGACCCATGAGCACAAAAGCTCTTTCTATCTTCTAATATCCTCTTCAATTTATTTCCTCAAAGATTTCAAGTTTTTGCCATACAAGTCTTTCACTTGCTTGGTTAGAGTTACCCCAAGATATTTTATATTATTTGTGGCTATTGTGAAGGGTGTTGTTTCCATGATTTCTTTCTCAGTCCATTTGTCATTTGTGTATAGGAGGGCTACTGATTTTTTTTAGTTCATCTTGTATCCTGCCACTTAGCTGAAAGTGTTTATCAGCTATCATTTAAAATGAAAACAAAAATACATATGTCACACACATATAAGAGCTTTTAAAACAGTATTTACTGGATGAAATTCATAAAGACAAGAGAAAGAACAAGTATATGGCTTCTTTGGAGGCAGCATGCAGGCCCATATTCAGGGGCAACACATAGAAAATTAACAGGGCTTATGTTAGATCCTAAGAAACAGCTCACAGTCTTGAGCCATAGAAACTCTAAGAGCTTTACTCTGGTATTGAGGGCAGGTTCCAAATGATATCATTTTATCAATATAAGGGAACTAGTAGCCTCCACGCCTGCTCTGAGACCTCAGCACTTTTCCAAAGTTGATTGATTCAAGTACTAGCCAAAGCACAACTTAAGTAAATCAATTCCCTCCCCAGAAGGGCAGGCCACAGAGAAGCAACTTTAGCTGTATGTGAAATCCAATCCAAAAGCACAAATGCAGTTGGAGAAGGAATGTTTGTAGTCGTGGGGACAATGACCAGCCCATTATCATGCATTTGTCCTCAGTTCAAAAATTTACACAGTGGGAGTCTATTTAGTATCCACTGTGCGCCAGATGCTATTCTTGGGTCTATATCTATAACAAATTTGTAAAAATTCAGATTTTATAAAAATTGAATTTAATAAGCTTTAAACATAAGTAAATTACCCGTGTATTAGATGAGTGGAGAAAAAAGAATCAAAGCGGGTTAGAGGCATAATGGTTGCCATGCAAGATGACAGGAAGATAAGTCCCCTTGAAATTTTAGGTAGGATGTCAGAATAGACAAGTAACATTTGAGAAAGCCTTTGAAGAAGATGAGAGAACACCTTGAAGATATCCAGGGCAAGAGCTTCCAAGGGAGACAAAAGGGACCAGTACTCAGCCAGTAAACACCTCACATATTCAAGGGCTAGGTGAAATGGAAAGCCACGGGAAGCCTCTGAGAGGAGACCAATGTGATCTTGCTTCCATTCAGCAGCCTCATTCAAGCTGCTCTGCTGAGAATAGAGGTGGCTGAGATGAAAGGAAGAAAACTGTTGAATTAACATCAGAGCAGATGGAGGCTGGAGTTACACTGAGCGCAGAGGCTTCCTGAACAATAAAAGCCCACTCAGGAACAGCTGTTGACACTGTTCCTGCTATGGAAAGGGGATGTAGACATGGTAAGTGGCCAAGGATCTCCTGTGAGTTTAGAGGAAATAATAAGAAGGTTCATTGTCCCTCTTCCAGGAAGAATAATAGTGCTTCCTTCTTTCTGTAAGACTCTACTCAGTCAGGTGGTGTTGTGGAGAACCTTCAAAACATGTGGTGTTGACAGTACAGGGAGAATTGGAGCAGAGGGGACAGTGAATGGCTAATAAAGAAAGCTGTGCCTCATTGTTCTTCACAATGGCAGGTAATTAACAAATGAAGAGGAATGTTAACTCCTGAGCATACAGGAGCACCAACCATCAGCAGGACTGTCTATACAATTTTCAGGGTCCAATGCAAATAAAAAGAACCACTGGGCTTCTTATTCAAACTTAAGACAATGGTAGCACGGCTTTAAATAAGTTACTGTGCACATGACTTGTGCTAGCCCTGGTTTTCAGTTTTAATTACTCATAGTCAACTTATTCAGATATTGATGTTACAGATAAGAGCATAACAGGACTGACAATACTGTGATAATAGCTCACTACAGTCACATGCAGAAAAGACAGAGAGATGACATTCACTCAATTTTACACTAATGAGATACTCCATTCTGTGGGTACCAAAAATTGAATATAATCCCTTCAACCAGGTGCCAGGGGGAGATCCGTCTATAGAGGAGGGGTTATTACTCAAAACAAATAGGGGGCTGAGAAGTATTCATTATCCTTACCTTTAAGAACTGTCTAGGCAGGATTGACAGCTTTGTTCCCTTCTGATAACATCAGAAACACCTCTCCGTTATGAGAGACTTGATCAGGGATCTGTGAAAACCCATTAAAAGAAAACTATTTTCCTGGCGTGGGTGGAGACATTACATTCTAAACCTCCCAAAACATAAGAACTAATTCAGTTGAGCCAGTCAATCACCCAGCCAAATCCATGCCTCAGGAAGGTGGATTCACCTTAAGCCATGTGAGAGATTGAAGGAATAATTACCCCTTTAATGAGCTTGCCAAAGTCTGAGCTCTTTTATCCATGACACTGACAAAAGAGATGTCAAAAACATCCTTCTCTTCTAAAATTTCTGGTACCCAAAACTTCCCAAAGACCTCCCAGTGAGGATGCCCCCATTTTCCAGCAGGAAAAAGCTACAAAAATGACAACTGTGTCCCCCTTCCACCTATCTATACCAGGAATGTTAGCTGTGGACACTTCATTTTATAAAGTAGATTCACTGTGGTTGAATTTTGACAATTCTAGTCACTTCAGTAATTTTGTTTCAAATCTAAAGTAACCTGTTACTCTAGATTCTTGTCTTCCCTGCACTGTTGACTCCAAATAACAGCTAGCCAGGAAGAATGCTTATCAACTACCTGACCACCTAGGATTCTTTAACTACTTACTAGTTACCCCAGTCATTGCCAAAACAGGAAACTTATCAACCTCTTTCTTCTCCCTCCCTTTCTACCCTATAACTGGCAGAGATGCAACCCCTCCCCTTTTTGCCCTATAACTGCCCAGGTGCAAACCCTCCCCTTTCCACCCCATAACTATCCAGATGCAACCCCTCCCCTTCCTACCCTATAATTTCCCAGATGCAACCCCTCCCCTTTCTATCCTATAACTGCCCAGATGCAACCCCTCCCCTTCCTACCCTATAATTTCCCAGATGCAACCTCTCCCCTTTCTATCCTATAACTGCCCAGATGCAACCCCTCCCCTTTCTACCCAGATGCAAACAGACAGGGGCTCTGATTCTTACAGAGACCTCCCTCTGTAGGTTGTTCCCTTAAATAAAGATCTGTGCTGTCTTAGGTCCTTTCCTTGTCCGTCTTTCCTTCTCACTGATGTATCAAAGATAACACACTGTTCTTTCCTGGAAAGCCCACCCCAGATGCAGTTGCTTACACAGCCATGGGTCTGGAGATACCCTAAGCCTGATCACTTTTCTGAATGACTTGAGAAAGTCTAACTTGTTCTTTTTCTTGCTTTTATCTCTTTTTCATTCTTCTGGATACTTCCCAATGTCTGTTCATGCTTTCTCAGACACTCTGAGCTTTCTCACTTTTTTTCTCTGATGTTCACAGATGTGGCTGGGTGGCTGCTTACAAATAACATGGTTTTTCTCTCCTCTTCTTGTTCATATTCCTCCTCTGGACAGCTGTTGTGATTTGCAGCTTGCCTGCCCTGGAGTGTTTCCTTTATATATTGATAAAGTTGTCCTTCTGCTCTTTTCTGGATTCATTCTTAAACACTTTTGTTAATGAAACTAAGAATCCTGAAACAGAACACCAATCCCCTGGTAACACGTGGTGTGCCATGTGCACTCCCCAAAATTTCCAGTAGCACCTCCACAGGAGAAATTACATTATTAAAAAATCATTTAGTATTACCCATCTGGAAACGTCCATTTGGGTCCTTGTTTTCTCTTCTAAGACAAACAGTGAAGATATAAAGAATTAACAAAATAGCCATATAAGAGTGTATGCACGAGTTAAGTTCTCAGGTTCTGAAACAAAATATATTTGTTCATATTACGTAAAGCTATTTCAGTCAAGGGCAAACTATACATATAACAATGGCTCTAGAATATTATGGTGAAACTGAAATTTTTCTTTTTTATTTTACCCACTCAGAGTGGCAATCATAAGAAAAGAAATAGCCGAAAATGCTGGCAATGATGCAGAAAGAGGGAAACCCTTATATACTGCTGATAGAAATGTAAGTCAGCCTAGCCAGTGTGAAAATCAGTATGGAAGTTAAAAAGGAATCCACCATACGGCCCAGATGAACAGTCCTCAGTATATACCTGAAATACCTTAAATCAACATCACAAAAATACTTATGCATTGACAGTTGTTACCATATCATTCATAATAGCAAAACTGTGGAATCAGCCTAAGTGTCCATCAACAAAGAGTTGGAGCAGGGCATTGTGGAACAGGCCTGTGCCACAGAAGCAGTAGGATCAGGAGTTCAAGGTCATCCTTGGCTAGACAGCAGGTTTAAGTTCAGCCTTGATTACGTGAGACCCTCTTTCAAAAACATCAGAATCAAATAAACAAATGAATAAAAACCAAAGTAATGGGTGAAGAAAATATGGTATATACACAATAAAATTTTATTCAGTCATAAAGAAGAATAAAAGTGTGCTATGTGAGAAAATAGACATAACTGGGGATCATTGTGTTACGCAAGTCAAGGCAGACTTAGAAAGATAAATCTAACATTTTCTCTTATTTGTGGATCACACACAAAGAGAGGGAGAAAGAGAGAGAGACAGAGAGAGAGGAAGAAGGAAGGGAACTCACAGGAGAGAGGAAGATAAGAGAAGGGTGGAAGGGATGTGGAGAATGAGATCAAAATCTAAATACTTGCATGAAAATGCCCTGATGAAACTCAGCTCTATGTACAGTGAATATATACCAATTAAAATGATTTTCAAGTTCCCATGAGCAATACTCATGTGCTTCTGAGTAATTCAGATTAAAACAAATCTCTTTCACTGCCAGGCATAAAAGTATAATACATATAGTAGATATAACTGTGTATAGTACATAATACTCAGTGACAATAACTATATTTCCAATATATGTATGTATATTATTCTTTTTATCTGCATTTTAAAATGTATTGCTGCTTATAAACTTATAGTTGGAATCTAAAAGCAAAAATTGATGTGAAAGTATAAAATGGCTAATAGATAATAAAAAGAAATACAGAAAAGGTGTGAGTAATGGAAGAGGTAAAGTAATATGCATGTACAAAAATTTCATAATGAAGTGCACTGTGTGATATTCTGATAGCACTCTTACAGCCAAAACATCCAATATATCAATAATAAAACATTAACATCTCAGAAGAAAAGTAACCAACTCATAAAACATGTACAAATGGCCAATTTATTAAAAGTTATACAGATTTTTAACAGTCAGAGAAATGGCAACAAAAATTAAATCTCGGTACTGAGAAAGATGACGAGGTCAGGTCCTGCCTAGCTGCAGCACAGACCCAAGGTCAGATTGTGAAACAGAAAATTTTGAAAGTGCGGCCAAAACTGCAGATCGGAAGCAGCATCGGTGAAACCGGGAGTTTAGAAAGAGCAAAGCCAAGATTAAAAGTCAACAATGGAGAAAATAAAAGGTCTGCAGAACTAGGACAAGGTGGGGTCTAGTAAGAAGTGAGCCAGCACTCTCAGCCACACCAAGCTGCCCGTGCTGATCCGGGTCCCACCAGGGAAGTGCACTCAAGAACTTTGAGAACGCTGCAAGAGTCCGTTCACACTGCTGGAAACTCAAATAAGAGGCTGAACTCAGCATCCCCAGAGAAGAGAATGGTGCACAGCGAGCCACAGTTACAGCACCAGAAAAGTGCTTGAGGCTTGAAGCACTCACTGTCCGTCCTGCTCACCACTGAGGAGCAAGCAAGGGATGATGCTGGGAATGGAAGAGCAGAGGGTGTGGGCTGCACTCTGTTGCAAGCCACAGACAGCAGTGCAGCTGGGGAGATATCAGGGGCATGGAAGGGAGCCTGAAGCTGAAAACGGCTCAGTACCCCAGCCCAGCCCAGCCAGCTGTGTGGAAGAACTGACTGCGGTGAGGCGATGACCAGACAGGCAGAACCATGGTAATGGGGTGGGGGGGCTGAGCACACACACAGTACTTTCTTCATTTCAGTGTATCTTATCGTAATCTTTAATTCATTTTTAAAAGAATCTTTGTTTTATTTTTAATTATTTTTAATTGTGTGTATGTGGGTAGAATGAATAACTGGGGGAGCATCATGCTCTTGAGTGCAGGCTCTGCAGAGACTAAAGGCATCAAAGTCCCTGAAGTTGGAGTCACAGATAATAGTGAGTTATTGAATTTGTGTGCTAGGAACCAAACTCCAGTCCCCTGAGAGAGCAGTATGTGCTCTTAACTGCTCAGCCATCTCTCCAAGTCCCTGATTTACTCTTGTTTTTTTCATTTGTTTTTCTGTTTTTGTATTTATGCTTTGGTATCTTTTTTTTCATTCTGAAGATCTCAGGCAGAAATCTTTTTTTTCTTTTTATTTATTCTTCTCTCATACAATATACCCTGACCATAGCCTCCATTCCTGTCAGTCCCTTCCCCCAGCCTTTCCTTCCTCCAAGTGTTCAACTGGGTTGGAGCTTGCACATCACTGGAAAAGCTTTTTATGTCTGTCCCTCCTTTCTGTAAACCTAATATATAATATCATCTCTACTTCATTTCTTACCTTGAACATTCCTTCTTAACCCTCCTTCTCTGTTTCCCATCCCCTCCTCCTTTCACTACAAATATTGATACATTTAGCTCTAAACAAACCATAAACTGCGTTTCCCTACCATGCCCTACTGCTGCCATCTCTGAACCTCTCAGGGACATGGTGACATGCAAGAGTTCCTTCTGCACTTAGCAGCGGCGCTACTTTCAAACCATCGTGGTTGCTATTGCAGTACACATTCGCTCAACACAAATCGAGGCGATGGCAGTTGACCAGGAGGACTCATGTGAGATAAAACAAACAGGGGAAACAGTGGGAAAAACCGGGGAAGGACGAACTTAAGAACGTATCTATTGCAATAGATGTCTATCTCAATAGACGTGAAAATCACAGTAAAAGAACATAAAAAACCATGATGCAGCCCATGACACCCCAAAAGCTGACAATTCCAGATATCAGAGAAACAAAGATAATGAAATGGCTGAAATCAGAAAAGGGTTCTGAGTCTTGCTTCTATAAAGGATCAATAACCATGGAGAGGACTCAAAAACAGAAATCAATTTCAGGAACTACACAAGAAAGTTACCAAAGAGGA